ACCCCCTCGCAGACCCTGTCACTTACCCCCAACCCCCTCCCAGTCCCTGTCACCTTCCCCCGGCGCCCTCCCAGTCCCTGTCACCTTCCCCCGGCCCCCTCCACCCCGTCCCTGTCACCTCCTCCAGCCTCTATACCTGCTCAACGCTCTGCAATCCATGCAATGTCTGTCCAACCTGTCGACAGGGAGCTTTACTCTGTATCTAACCCCGTGCTGTCCCTGTCCCTGGGAGTGTTTGATGGAGCGGGGGGTTGGGGGGCAGTGTAGAGGGAGCTTTACCCTGTATCTAACCCCATGCTGTCCCTGTCCCTGGGAGTGTTTGATGGGGGGGACAGTGTAGAGGAAGCTTCACCCTGTATCTAACCCCATGCTGTCCCTGTCCCTGGGAGTGGTTGATGGGGCGGGGGCAGTGCAGGGGGAGCTTTACTCTTTATCTAACCCTTTGCAGTACCCGGGAGTGTTTGATGGGGGGGAACAGTGCAGAGAGATCTTTACTCTGTATCCAACCCTGTGCTGTTGCTGTCCCTGGGAGTGTTGGATGGGGGAGTTGGTGCGGGGGGGGGGGAACGGTGCAGAGAGAGCTTTACTCTGTATCTAGCTCGCGTGTGTTGATCTGGCCTGGGCTGTGTTTGCTGTATGAGAAAAGGCTATGGCTTCTGTTGTAAGTGGAGCTACGCCTATCTGGTAATCCCCAATTGAAACCTCAACAATGAGGAAGACAGACAAAATGCAGGAGATATTGTTTTTGATGAAGAAGTGGACTGTGAGCCAATAACTCAGTCTGGCAGTCACATTCACACCCACAAATACCAGACAATGACTATTTCCAACAAGAGAATCTAACCATCACCCCATTGACATCCAATGGCATTACCATTACTGACTCTTCCTCCCCCCAATATCAACATCCTGGGGGTTACTGTTGATCAGAAACTGAGCCGAGCCCAGCCACATAAACACATGGGCTACAGGAACAGGTCAGAAGCTGGGAATCCTTCAGCGAGTAACTCCCCTCCTGACTCCCTCACAAAGCCTGTCCCACCATCGACAAGGCACAAGACAGGAGGGTGAGGGAATACTCCCCGCTTGCCCCTGGATGGGGGGCAGCTCCGACAACACTTGAGAAACTCGACACCATCCAGGGACAAAGCAGCCACCCCACCCCCCTCTCGCTCGATGGGCACCACATCCACAAACATCCCCCCCACCCACCACCACTGATGCACAGCCGCAGCAGTGTGTACCATCTACAGGATGCCCTGCAGAAACTGACCAAGGCTCCTTAGACAGCACCTTCCAAACCCACGACCGCTTCCATCTCGAACTTAGAAGTCACGCAACACGAGGTTATCGTCCAACAGGTTTATTTGAAATCTCAAGCTTTCAGAGCCCTGCTCCTTCGTCAGATGAAGCCGTCGTGTTGGGCTATAACTTGGTGTGTTGTGACTTCTGCCTTTGTTCACCCCAGTCCAACACCTCCACCTCTGCCTAGAAGGACAAGGGGCAGCAGATACATGGGAACACCAACCCTCTGCAAGATCCCCTCCCAGCCACTCCCCATCCCGACTTGGAAATATATCAGCCGTTCCTTCAGTGCGGATGGGTCCGAATCCCTGGAATTCCTTCCCTAAGGGACATTGTGGGTCTACCCTACAGCACATGGACTGCAGCGGTTCAAGAAGGCAGCTCACCCCCACCTTCTCAAGGGGGCGGGGGGGGGTGGCGACAAGGGATGGGCAATAAATGCTCAACCCATGATGGTCACCCTACACCAATCACACCGCCCGTAGCCCAGTTCACAGGATACCCCTCCCTGCCTCCAAACACTCCCATCTCAAATCCTCTTTGTAGCCTCATGACAGACTCCCACCCTGGTTTATTGGTATTTATATTCACACTCCAGGCCTCCCCACAAAAGCCCCACTATATTTACATACATATCTATAATAAACCACAGCCACCACCCCCCCAATACCCCCTTGTAGGCCCCAGCCCCAGGGCTAACCTAGCAACAGCCTCTAGTCATAGCCCTGGAATTCAACTCCACATATACGACCCTTCTTACTTGCCCATCCCCATATATTGATAAATACGTATATATTTATATTCTAAGACACCCTCTCATCAGCAAAAAGTATCAACCACTCTGACCTGCCCCCACCCTGGTGTCTGGTCTAGTTACAGCCACTAACAGCAGCCTTGGGTTAACAAAAAGCTTAGGTAAACCCCTTACCTGCCCCTCCTTGTATATTGACATATGCACATAACCCACCCACCCCAGGGCCCACACAATAACACCCATCCCAGAGCCAAAGCATAGCAACAGCCTCAGATCTGGGCTGTCAGGTTCACACCTCAGGAATATACCACATTCACCTGCCCTACTGACACATATGTTCCGCCTTCACCTCTCCCAAGCCTGTGCCCCACTCATCTACACCCCTCCCCTAACCCCACAGACTGGTCTAGCAGCAGCCTCTGGCCCCAGGCTCTCCTACTCACCCCAAGGGTCAATACCGCTCTCACCTGCTCCCCCCCCCATACATTAACATAGGTTTAAATGTTTCACCCCACGCCACCGTCCCCAAGATTCAGTGAGCTGCCCCATGCCGAGACCCAGCCTCGCAACAGTATCTGGCCCCGACGTCTTCCACTCATCCCCGGAGTGACTGCCCCTCTCACCTGCCTCTCCCTATTTACTAACATGCATGCACGTATGTTTATAATACACTCTTCACTCCCTGCCAACAAGACCCTCTCACCTACCACCATCCCATCTCCCAGACTAGCATCAGCCTCTGGCCCCAGCCTCTTCCACTCACCCCTGGGGTGAATGCCACTCTCAACTGCCCCTCTCCATACATTAACATAGGCTTAAATGTTTCACCCCACCCCACCCCACCGTCCCCAAGACTTAGTGACCTTCCCCGTGCTAGGGCCCAGCCTAGCAACAGCCGCTGGCCCCAGGCTCTCCCACTCCAGGGGTGAATACCCCTGCCACCTGCCCCGCCCCACGTACTGACTTGCATGCACATACATTTATAAAACACCATTCACCACCTCCCCCCCACGACAACTCGCCCCTCTCACCTGCCCCCATCCCGGCGCCCGGTCTAGCAACAGCCTCTGGCCCCAGCCCCGGGGTCTCCCCCCCGGGCAACAGGGGAGACTTCTCGCCGCTCTCGCGCTCCCCTCCTCCTGCCGCCGCCATCTTCCGGGGCTTGCGTCTGACGTCAGCTCGCAGAGCTCGGCCACGATCCAGTCCTCTGCGTCTGTCGTCAGCGCGTACAACCACGGCCACGCCCCTTTCCCCGCAGTCGACGTCATCGCGAACCCTCTTAAAGGGGCATACCCCCCACACGCCACACCACATTGAATTTGTGTCCAAGAATAGTAAATATCTGCATCTCAATCATGGGTTGGGGTGGGAGCAAGGGTAGTGAATCTTTCGCAATAAGTTGTTTATTATTTGTTTTGTTTTTTGGCTGGGGATCATCTAAACCATTCCTTTTCCATTGGAAGGAGTGCGTGGGTTGGGGGCAGGGGCATTAATGAATCTGTCTTCTTCAGGGTTGATTAAAATCCGGGAGGGCAAGCGTCCATAAATCAGAAAAGTTCTACCACCAAACACCCTCAGTATTCCTTCCTTTCCACCTCCCAATTCCCCAAAAGTCGGGTGGTGAGGACGGCTGGTCCTGGGACACGACGGGCTGAATAGCCTCATTAGTACCGTGAACATGCTGTGGCTCCGTGGAGAGTCAATGGTTGGTTCCCTCACCACCTCCCCACTCACCCATTGCCCTGGGTCCCGCAGCCACTGGTAGGCAGATTTCACTCACTGAACCACATTTGTGACCAACAATCGACTTTGGGAACAGGCTCGTCACTCCGGGTCCTTATTAAATTTACTTACTTGTGGCAAACCTGCCTAAAAACGAGGCAGGGAGCTAGAGGTGGAAGCCCTCAAGCCATTTGAAGTAGGTGAATAAGCTTGTCATATGAGAAACGATTGAGGACTCTGGGTCTGGACACAATGGACTTTAAGAGGATGTTGTAGCGATTGGAACCAGGTGGACCACATTTACTATGAGGTTCTTGAATGGGGTTGTTAACCCAAGCCGACCAGGCTGACCAATATAACCAGGAGATTAGGATCTCCTCAGTTGAGGACTGACTCCAAGCTGGCTGGGCTACAGCCAGTGTACTGTGCACCAGTAAATAAAGGATGACTTGGTGACAGGACACTGACCTTTGTGCAGTTATTTCAGATGATGGGGTGGCATCTGACTGAAACTCACAGAATACCAGAGGCCTGGACAGAGTGGATTGGAGAAGATGTTTCCACTTGTAGGAGAGACTCGGAACCGAAGGCAAAACCATTAGAGTGCATGGGTGACCCTTTAGAACCGAGATGAGGAGGTATCTCTTCAGCCAGAGATTGGTGAGTGTGTGGAACTCATTGCTGCAGAACGCTGTAGAGGCCACGTCACTGAGTGTATTTAAAGTCTGAAGTCACACAACACCAGGCTATAGTCCAACAGGTTTATTTGAAATCACCAGCTTTCAGAGTGTAGCCCCTTCATCAAGTGAAGTGAGAGAGAAACACACAGGCACAAAATTTATAGTCAAAGAGATCAAGGGCAGAGAGATTATGCAAATGGTGTGAGTGGAGTGTCGAATAATAAGTCTCTGCAAGTGATCAAAAATGTCAGACGGTGTGAGTAAAGTGTTAACAGCTGAACAACAAGCAAAGGAATTATCTACAATCTGAACAAAAGAGGTGGAAAGATAATTACAACAAAAATAAATATAAGATGGTGCTGGGGACAACCTAAATAACTAAAATAACATGATCGGTGTAAGAGTCACATGCTGAGGGTTGAATCAAAGTAATAAATAAACCAAAACTGTACAAACTAATTAAGATAGAGAGATCATAACAATTTATCCAGGTGATGGTATCAAAATAGGGTGGTAATGAAGATTATACAGATACAGAACAGTGGTGTGGGGTCACAAGTAGCGTGACATGAACACAAGATCACTGTTGAGGCCGTCCTTCTGTAACAAAACTTGGCCATCTGTTTCTGCTCGGTGATTCTGCCTTGTTGTGCATCCCAAAGGCTGCTTTGGTGGACATTTACCTGAAGGTTGGAGGCTGAATGTCCCTGACCACTGAAGTGTTCCCCGACTTGTAGGGATCATTCCTGTCTGGTGACTATTGTACAATGTCCATTCATCCGTTGTTGTACCATCAGCGTGGTCATTTCCCACATGCCATGCCTTGGGGCATCCTTGCCCGCAGTGTATAAGACAGACAACGTTGGCCAAGTCACATGAGTATCTGACGTGTATGTGGTGTATGGTGTTCCCGCGTGTGATGGTGTTATCCATGTCGATGATCTGACATGTCTTGCAGAGGTTACTATGGCAGGGTTGTGTGGTGTTATGGTCAATGTTGCCTGGAAGGCTGGGTAGCTTGCTGTGAACAATGGTCTGTTTAAAGGTTTGGTGGTTGTTTGGAGGTGAGACGTGGAAGAGGGATGATCTTGACAAGATGCTCGTCGTCATCGGTGACATGTTGAAGGCTTTGAAGAAACGTAGTTTCTCTGCTCTGGGGAAATACTGGTCAATGAAGGGTGCCCTATTAGATGTATCCTGTGTCTGTCTTCTGAGGAGGTCATTACAGTTTTTCACAGTGGCACGTCAGAACTGGAAATCAATGAGTTGAGCATCATATCCTGTTCTTCTGACTGCATCCTTCAAAATTTCTGGGTGTCCATTGTGTTCCGGCTCATCTGAGCACATCCTGTGTATGAGTAGGTCTTGTCCACAGGGGATGGTGTCTGTAATATATTTCGGGTGGAAGCTAGAAAAGTGCAGCATCATGAGGTCAGCCACGGGCTGGCAGTTGACTGAGGTACTGAGGTGTCCGTTCTTGGTGGGGATGTGTGTTTCCAAGAATGAGACTGAGTCTGAAGAGTAGTCCACAGTGAGTCTGATGGTGGGATGAAACTTGTTGATATCACAATGTAGTTGTTTCAGTGATTCCTTGCCATGAGTCCAAAGGAAGAAAAGGTCATCGACATATCTGGTGTATAACATTGGATAGAATTCCTGCACAGCAAAGAAGCCTTGCTCGAACTTGTGAATGAATTTGTTGTTATATTGGGGAGCAAATCTGGTCCTCATGGCTGTTCCATGTGTCTGGATGAAGAACTGGTTGTCGAAGATGAAGATATTGTGGTCGAGGATGAAGTGGATGAGTTACAGGATGGCATCTGGAAATTGACAGTTGGTGATATTGAGTACTGAGGCTGTTGCAGCGATGCCGTCATCATTGGGGATGCTGGTGTAAAGTGCCAAAACATCCATGGCGATGAGGGATGTTCCCTGTTTGACTGGTTCGTGGATGCTACATTTCCGGAAGAATTCTGTAGTGTCACGATAGAAGCTAGGGGTTCCTTGTACAATGAGTTTCAGTGTGCCCTTAACATAGCCAGAGAGGTTTTCACACAGTGTCCCATTGCCTGATACCATGGTACGTCCAGGTGTGATGATTTTGTGCACTTTCGGAAGGCAGTAGAAGTCTCCGATGTGACAAGTATGTGGGATGAGAGTGTTTAAGATACTCTGAAGTTCTGGATCACAGATCTTGATGAGTCTGTTGAGTTCACAGGTCCGTCCTTTGGTCAGATTGGCAGGCAGTTGTCTGTAGTGTTCCTGGTTGCTCAGTTGTCTGTACACTTATTTGCAGTAGTCCATTCTATTCTGTGTGACGACAGCTCCTCCTTTGCTGGTTTGATGACAATGTTGCAATTGGTCATGACAGCACGGATGGCATTGTGTTGCGCTTGGCTGACATTCTGCGCTACCTTGTGAGCACGGCTGATGAATCTGGCATCTCCTGACAGCTTGAGCATGCATGTCGAAACTCGGGCAGTGGCCTTCTATTGGGGTGCAATTCAACTCTTTCTTCTTTGGTCATGGCACCGCGGATCTCTTTGTTGACTGTTTCGGTTTGTTGATTGTCTCATTTGGCTCGCTGCTGACATCTTGGGGTATTTAAGTATACATAAGACAGAGAAAGATAGGTTCTCGATTAGTAAGGGGATCAAGGGTTACAGGGAGGAGGCAGGAGAATGGGGTTGACAGACACATTAGCCATGATCGAATGGCACACAGACTCGACTAATTGAATGGCCTAATTTGTCTCATATATGTTATAGGTGAGCATTTGAGGCTACAGGTCCAGAGGTGGAAATTGAGACTGGAATGCATGCAGCAAATCTGTTGAGTTTCTCCAAAACTTTCTTTCTGTTTTTGTTTTTATTTTCAATTTACGAGGTGGCACTGAATTTGCACTGAATGTTGGTCAGAACTCACCTGGAGTGTTGTGCACAGCTCTGGGTGGTCAGTGCTCAGGAGGGTGTGAATGCGTTGGAGAGAGGGCCTAAGCGGTTGATTAGAATGGCCTCAAGGACGTTTCAATTCAGTTCTGAGGGCAGATTGAAGACGTTAGGAACGTCCCTGGTCTAGACCAGAAGGCGAAATCGACAAGACCAGACAGTGAGCAGAAGTGTACGTGGATTTGGAAGATGCCGTCTGAGGATCTGTGCTGAATATCTGCTGCGCGTCTTGTAGATGTGGTTGGGGGGAATGAATGTTTGTGGATGTGGTGCCAATCGACCAAAGGCTGCTTTGTCCCTGGATGGTGTCGAGCTTCTCGAGTGTTGTTGGCGCTGCCCCCATCCAGGGCAAGTGGGGAGTATTCCCTCATATCCTGATTTGCGCTTTGTAGATGGTGGGTCAGGTTTTGGTGGGGGTGGGGGAGTGAGGTGGGGGGAGTCAGGGGGTGAGTTACTCCCTGCAGGATTCCCAGCCACTGACATGCTCCTGTAGCCCCTGTGTTTATATGGGGCTGGATCTGTGTTCAGTTTCTGGTCAATGGTAACCCCCAGGATATTGATAGTCGGGGGGATTCAGTGATGGTAGCACCATGGAATGCTAAGGGACAGTTGTTAGATTTGCCTCTTAATGGAGACTGCGCTAACGCATGACTAAACTAAAAACTTTTTGCCTGTATGTGGTCCGTATTCCTCTATTCCCTGCCTATTCATATATCTTTCAAGACACCTCTTAAAGGTTTCTACTCTATCCACCAGCACCACCTCCTCCGACAGCACATTCCTGGCACTTGCCACCCTTTGTGTTAAAAATCCTGCCTCTCACGTCTCCTTTAAACTTATTCACTTTTATCTTAAACCTATGTCGCTGAGTAATTGACATTTCTAACCTAGGGAAGAAACCACCCTGACTATCCATTCTATCCAAGTCTCTCCTCATTTGGTAATCAACTGTCAGGCCTCCAACATTCAAGTGGCAACAAAGCAAGTTTGACCAATCTCTCCTCAAGGCTAAAAGTCTCCGAAACCCAGGCAACATCGTGGTAAACTATTTCCGTACCCTCTCCAAAGGCTCCACATCGTTCCGACACTGTGGCGACCAGAACTGCACGCAATATTCCAAATGAGGCCGAATTAAGGGTCAATAGCAAGCAACATGACTGAAAAAAAATGATATACTCTGTGCCCCGACTGATGCACGTACGCATGCCATACATCGTCTTGACCATTTTATGCATCCATGTTGCCATTTTCACGTACCTGCAGACCTGTACGCCGAGATCCCTCTGTAGGGTAATGTTTGTAGAATTTCGACCATTTACTGTATACTTCTCTCCTGCATTAATCCTTCCAAAATACTCACAAAAACACAATTACCCTCACACTCACAGACATTTCCAGACGATAGCACCCACTCTCACTCACTCACTCACACACACTCGCTCACTCATTCACATTCACTGAGGCACTGAAATCAACAGAGGCACGGAATCCCAAAGCAGACATGTAACCATCACATTTTTATTGGTGAACTGCAACTTACATTGTGCAAAATCACTCAGAGAGAAATTGCTCAGTTCATCGAGAAGAGGGAGATGGAGGGAACATTCCACTCAATAAATAGCAACAGAGCAGATCGGAGAATTGTTTGACTTGACAAGTTTTAAACCCTCCTTCATTGGGGATGGAAAAACAAAGCAATTACACGTGAAATTCTTTAAATACAGCTTTGATAAACATCAGGGACGTCGCCCGCAATAGTGAGTCAATTAATCCGCACAGAGAAATGAATTACATGATTTATACACACAAAAATAACTTTGATGCAGTCCGTTTATTTCCACTTTTAACTCATTACAACACTCATGATGAAATTAAAAAAAAAGGAAAATACAAATCTAGTTATTTCAATACTAAAGCAAATGCTGATGAATTACAATCAAACAAAGCTTATATCGAGAACAAAATATTTAGCATTTTGGAAATGAAAGTGGACGACTTCTCGCAAGTTTATGTGCCTCAGGACGTCCCGCGTTGAAGTAAACTCTGCCATTTACCTGTAATGACAAAGAAAATAGTTTGAGTTCACTTGAGGTCATGTCTGCCTCTGTCTGCAATGTTACACTGCTGAAGGGCCACATTTCAACATAAACTGACTTGGCCTGCTGTGTTCATCCAGCTCTACGCCTTGTTATCTCAGATTCTCCAGCATCTGCAGTTCCTGGTATCTCTGTATCTCTATCTGCTCGCTCAGCTGAATGTAATCGATCTCGAACAGCAGGACAGGAGTAGGCAGCAAGTGATCCCTCGACAAGTATTTGTTCTACAGTCAGAAAACTCAGTACACATATTATTATACAATAATTATTGCTTCCTGATTTCTAGGGATTTATTGAGCGAACGTTGGTTGTGCCTTGCCATAAATTACAACAGCGAGGATATTCCCAAATGTACATCATAAAAATCGAAAGAACTGCGGATGCTATAAATCATGAACAAAAAACAGAAATTGCTGGAAAAGCTCAGCAGGTCTGACAGCATCTGTGACGAAAAAAAAATCAGAGTTAACGTTTCAGTTTCAGTGACCCTTCCTTAGAACCCCCTGAGTTCTGAGGAAGGGTCACTGAACCCGAAATGTTAATTCTGATTTTTCCTTCACAGTTTCTGCCAGACCTGCTGAGCTTTTCCAGCAACTTCTGTGTTTTGTTCCCAAAAGCACATCATTGGCCGTGCGTGTTTTTTGCAAGTCGGGTGGTGTTCGAACGTGCAGCATAAAGAAAAGTATTTTTGCTGTTTCTTTTACTCTGATAAAACAATTTCAATGATTTCTGTGAAGCAGTAACATGCTGTTTTCCTCATTGACCAGAAAATTCCAATCACAAATATCGATTGCTTTAGTTGATAAATGTCAAGCTTTCCGTGCTGATTTTCAGCATTAAATAATGCTCAACGTATTTGATAATTCTACAGAACGCCAGGCAATCCCAATCTCTGCTCTGCATCAGAAACAGTGGAAATAATGAGACAAGGTAGCTCTTATCGGTTTGATGAGTTTGCTGTTCAATTTCAGTTTCGGTGCGTGTCATTACTGGGGGCAACATGGAAACGTCAATTATCAGAAGGAATAGGGTTTTCTGAGAGGGCATCAGAGGTAACATTGCTTGAAAAACCATTACATATAATACACTGGCCTGAGATTAATCATGTTAACACTTGGCTCCATTGAGACCTGTCTAAGATGCTGGACAATAATGGCGTGGCGTTCAGGAGGATTATATGGCCATGGCAATGGCTGTATCTTGGAACCAAAAAGAATCATCCAGTACGGAAGAGGCTGTTCGGCCCATCGAGTCTGCACTGTCAAATATATGCTACTACCTCCAACAGTCTCATGATCCCATATATATTCTTAAATGTTATGGCGCTTCAAGTACTCGCTCAAGCATGTCTTAAAATTTCTGAAGTATCCAGCCTCAACCATCCTCCCGCGCAGCGTATTCCAGACACCCACCGCACTCGTAGAAATGAATATCTTCCTCAAATCCCCTCCAAGCCCCTGGTTTTCACCGTTAACTTTGCCTTCCATGACCCCACCACAACCTGCTACCCCCACCCCCACCCCCGCAGCCTTATTATTAATACGTCAGTGAGGTTAACAACGATGAACAACGATTAATAATCATTTTCACAATCACCTGGGATCTCCCTTGGTTTGAATTGATTTATTGTTGTTACATATACCTGAGGACAGCGAAATGTTTGTGACTTTGATAAATGATATTTAAACATTGCAACATTTGGAACTGCAGTTGGAGGGATTGAAATACCCTGTTGAAATTTCATATTTCACGTCTGGATAAATCTGGAGAGGTATTGCATTTTGGTACAACAAACAAGTGTAGGACATGTACAATTCATGGTAGAAACTAGGGTAGCGTTGTAGAACAGAGGGACCTAGGGATGCGGAAATATAATTCTTTAAACTTTGCCTCACATACTTTCAGGTTGGTTAAAGTGCATTTGGCACACTTGCATTCACTGCTCAGTCCTTAGAGTCGAGGAGTTAGGAGTTATGTTGAGGTTGTGCAGCACACCAGTGAGGCCTCTTCTGGAATACTGCATCCAGTACTTGTTGCCCAGTTATGGGAAGGATATTATAAGCTGGAGAGGGTTTTGAAGAGATTTGGCAGCGTGTTGCTAAGTATGCAACGTTTGAGTTATAAAGAAAGGTTGGATAAGCTGGGACTTTTTTCACTGGAGTGTAGGAGGTTGAAAGGTGACCAGATAGAAGTTTATAAAATAATGAGATGAATAGACAGAGTTAGTTGTAGTTGCTCTTATTTTCACTAGGGTGGGGAATTTCAAGTCGAGGCGGCACGTTATTTTAAGGTGACAGGAAAGAGATTTTTAAAAAAAGACATAAAAGGCATTTTTTGACGCAGAAGGTGGTGCACGTGTGGATTGAACGTCCTGGGGAAGTAATGGATGCGGGTCGAATTGCAATGTTTAAAAGACATTTGGATGGATACATGTATAGGAAAGGTTTGGAGGTATACAAACAAGGAGCACGGAGGTGGGACGAGTTTAGTTTGGGATTATGGTCGGCATGGACAGGTTGGACCGAAGGGTCTGTTTCCGTGCTGTATAATTCTATGACACCATGACGCTATTTAGCAGTGATTTTGCTGGAGAGCGTACTTGTATTGGCGTGGAAGAGTGAAAAGAATTGTGGATGCTGAAAATCAGAAACAAAACCAGAAATTGCTGGGAAACCTCAGCAGGTGTGGCAGTCTTCGTGGAGAGAAGCCAGATTTAACACTACGGGAGTAGTGACCATTCTTCTGTGGAGATGCAGTAGCTTATTTGGAAGTGTGCTGAATGCCACATTTTGTGCTGAATGCCACATTTTGGAGGACAGATCCCACAAAGGTTAATTAGTGGAGACAAAGCGTGGTTTAGGAGAGAAACTGTAAAACTATGCAAGCTGTTCACCAGGGAAGCCAGGAACAATGGAGTAAGGTTCTCTCAATGGCCAATTAGGAATGTTTAAATGGCGAAGCAGCTGATCAGAGAGGTTGGGTTTTAGTGACAAGTGTGTCCACGAGTTATTGGCATTTATGATGCTCACGTTGGCGAGACTCATTCCGCTTTGGGAACTGGTATGAGTGCAGTTCCTCAGAACAGCCAAATCACAACCATCTCTCTTTGCATTTTACACGTCAATGTGCACCGGGTCTTTCTTCCCAATACGAACCAAGAACCACAACATTTAAAACTTGGAACACTTAAAACCTGACCTTGCATATTTTCGATTCGGCTATTTGGTGATTCATTGAAACAGTAGATTTAGACTTATAATTTCGCCAATGGGTGATGATAGTGTTGGCTACTCAAAGCGTTGACGAAACGCAATGTCTAATAAATATATACATATTATTTTGCCAGGCAATACTTTAAGATATTGGAATTAAGATACCCCTCCAGTATAACGGCTCTTTCTCAGTTTGAGTTTCTGGAGATAAGGCTCTGACAGCTTTGAATATTGCTGTTGGCTCTTCAGGAAATGCAATATTTGTCACAGAATGGAAAGGAATTAAGGCAGTGTGAATGCAGATCACTGGCTAAGATGCAAGTGACTGTAATTCAACTCACCAAGTGAACAAGGAACACTGACATCATTTGTCAATGTGAGGGGCTCATCAGGATCACTGTCCAATTGTAACTGGCCATCCTGAGATTCAGCGCCTTCAGTCTCAATATCATCATAATAGCCACGAATAGGACCTGGGAGAAAAATAAAAATGACTATCACTAACACAGTGTAACATATAACACCAGGAGCTGGAAAATGAGATTCAAAGTGGCAAATAAGAGATGAAAAAGTGGGATCAGAAGAGTCAGGTAGTTTATTGTACTTGAGGAGCCATGGCATAAGCAGAGATTATGCTAATCAGGACTGTTTTCACTGGAAGATTAAGAGTGATCTGATCGAATTGTCCAAGATATTAACAGGAAAAGACAGGTTAGACAATAATAAACTACCTCAACTGTTTGGACAATTCTAGAAATTCGGAGCACACTCTGAGAATTAAAGCCTGATCATTCAGAAGAGACGTTAGGGAGTACAAAAGCTGGGAGAGGTTTCGAATTGTATTCCTTAAAAAACCAGTTGATATCAGATGAGTTGTTAATTTAAAATCTGGGATAGATTATTGTCAACCAGAGGTATTATGGGACTTGGGCCAAAGACAGGTATCTGAATTTAGGACCAGGCAAGTGCCAGGAATTTATCACCGAATCGAGGAACAGGCTCGAGGGATTGAGTGTTCGACTCCTGTTTCTATGTTCCTGCTTTTCTTTTCCCTTGGAGCTGAGGTCACAGAGTGCCGGGCGTTTTTTTGAGATGCATTGTGAAATTATGATGGACATTGGTGTGGTAGCCAGGAAGAAATTTTCGCCGTTGTTGGGGGATCAAATATCAGGAGACATCGATTGAAGGAAAGGGGAGATCAGGTTCGAGGAGGGAGAATTAAAGAGCAAGTGAAGGAAAATGTTTTGAGCCAGCGGTCGGTAGGACTCTGGAACCAACTGCCTGTAAGTGTGGTAGAGGCACGAACTCTTATGACACTGAATAAATATTTACTTGTACGTAGAGTCATAGAGGGTGCACAGCATGGAAACAGACCCTTCGGTCCAACTCAGCCGCCAAACATCGTAAACTAATCTTGATCCATTCGTCAGCATTTGGCCCATATCCCTCCAATCCCTTCATATTAATCTATCCCTCCACATTGTGTTGTGCAAGGTTATGAGACAACTCCTGATAAGTGGAATTATAACAGTTATATGATTGTTTTTGGCAGGCACGGACTCGATGGACCATATCAGTATGACCCCAAACCAGCAACATTTTTTTTTCACTGACAGCGGTCATGAAACAGCGCTTATTGCAACATCTTTCTAGCCCCGTGTGAACATTGACATCTTTAAGTCTGGAAGGAAGAGAGAGTGAAGGACAAAAGTGGCCTGACAGAAAGTGAACACAGACAAACCTGCAATACTGTTGGAGTTCACCTCAGGATTTTCTGATCCCCGATTATTGTCAATCAAGTTGTCGCTGGTGTAGTATTCGATGTGATTGAGTGAGTCGATGGAAGCAGCAATTACTAAAAACAAAAGTACAGAGTTAATGTCAATTCCCATCTCCTAGTGAAGCCGTGACCCTTTAGAATTGTAAAGAGGCGAAATTTCTTCAGCCAGAGGATGGTGAATCTGTGGAACTCATTGACACAAAAAGTTGTGGAGGCCAAGTTTTTGAGTGTCTTTAAAACAGAGATAGACAGGTTCTTGATCATTAAGGGGATAAAAAGTTCGAGGGAGAAGACAGGAGTAGGGGCTAAGAAACAAATTAGCCACGACTGAATGGCAGAGCTATCACGATGTGCCACCTGACTTAATTCCACTCCAATATCTCGTCGACTTATGGACTGTGGGTTTATGTTTTATTGTCTTAATTGGACAACAAAGTAGCAAATATTATTATTTCATCATCTCTGCTGCAATACCCGGAATTTTGTCAAAGGAACATGTTATGGGAAAACAGTCAAGACACAATTTGTGGTGGTTCAAAATGAAGTGAAATGCCAAATCACTGCCATGGGAGATGGGAAACAAACTTTAGTTCTGACAACGAACAGACCCTTTTACCAACAATACTTTAAATGACTTAATTCCTCATCTCTGCTATTAGTTCAAAGTACATGGAAGTAAATTGAATGCCTTCAATTTTCTAAGGAACGTCTCTCATTGTGTCTGATTCGCCCTTAAGTGTTATTATTTGTGATACATTGCACATTTCTTGAATCTATTCAATATAATTTACACATCTCTGATTATTGTTATGTGGCATAATTTGCGAATGTTTTCCTTTAATTTGTTTTCCAATTGCATTCTCAGTTCGAAAACTGAGTCAATCATTTCCATTGTGATCCCGAAACGTTCCTTCCATTTTTTGTAGTAATGTTGCTTATGTCAAAATCAAAACTTCCAGTTGTTCCCATAATCCCATGCTCTATCTGGTTGTTCTGGTGGCCCATTCCCAGGTTCAGAAGGCAATCCTAGCCAGTGGGATTCTTGCACTCTTCCTTCAGGTAGACTACAGTCATGTCAATATTTTACATACATATCCGTGTATGAGCTGTTACCACATTATCTGTCAAATAACATTATAGAAGTAAAACATCCTGTTTGATTATTATTCTTTGGCGCTGGGTATTAGAACCGCTGTTGACACGATGGACTGAACGTCTACTGTCTGCACTGCCACGCCTCCTTGATTGCTCATATCTATTTGCAAATTAATTACTTAATTCGCTTTCAGTATTATATGTTGCGCAAAAGGCAGTCATGACAATGTTTATGTTGCTGTAAAAGTAATTTTTTAGGAATGGATTTGTCGTTCAGATGTCTGAAGGAGTCAGAGTGAAACCAGGTTCCAGTTGGAAAGTGTGACTCTGTTCGCATTTACAAACAGCTGTCTAAAAAAATCTTTCAGGAGCCAGGGGAATTGGGATGTATCGTATTGCAAATCTTCCTCTCACTCAACGCGGAGTTTCATTGACTTTCATTACTTCTGTCACATGAGGACAGTGATTTAAAAACTAATCATGTTCAATCAGATCGGTGATCATTGAAGTTCAAGGGAAGCCATACTTATTCAATAACGACACACTATGAAGGAAGAAGTATATACCTGGTTCAAGTTCCTGATGCATCATCTTGCCAGGAGGAATATTCTCAATTTCTTCATAAATTCCTTGGTACAATCCAAGACTTGAGCCTTTGCCGACCGTGTAAAGATCTGTTGAGGGAACGATAGACTAGTCATCATTTGTAGCTGAACACTCAGCCCCAACATTGAGTTTATTTCTGAAGAAACAAAATTTTGAAGCACTTGTAGCTCATTCCATCCAGGCGACGAGAATCATGGCACAGCATGATCTGATCACTGACAATTATTATGTTAAACATAGAGAATAAAATGTTGTTTACTGGGATTTGTAAGACCAGTTTTGCTGGAATTTTACTGATGCAAAAGTTAATTCAAGACAATTCTCTGCTCACAATCGTGCATGTGAGGGAAAATACCGAGTTTAGAAATTGAAGTTTCTTAATGCAATGAACGAGAAAAAAAACGTTAATAATTTATAGACAATAAAAAAAACCTTGATGACCATGAGGAGGTTACAAATCAAAATTCAAGATAAAGATCTCAGAAAAAAGAAAAATGCTTCTATAACAGTAATTTTATCAGAATTTAGACATTGTAACGAGACAAGTGTATTGTTGTTGTAATATTTGGATGCAGTAGCGTGAGACAGGTGAAATAAGGAGAATATTATGGACATTGATAATCGCAAACTAAGTTTATGCGTTTGTTTGCTATATGCAAACTAAACTGTAGAAAAATTATGAAACTATATAAACGGATGTATTTTGCAGCTCGTGTTGTTCGTTCTGGCCATCAAGTGGAAAAATTCTACCAGGCAAACACTTTCTAATCAGTTTAAAAAAGTGAACAGGTGTCACCTGGTCAGTCACGGGAACCCAGTTACTGGATGAATGAAATTTCCTATAAAGGGACATTAATCCATTGATCTTGGGTTCGAGCATCAGCGTTCAGAAACGGAAGTACCATAAATGAAAACTAACTGCTGAACAAATGATTAAAGCACCGTGCAACCGTTTCAATGAAACTTAAAGACACTGTGCTACAATCAATAACTTGTTCTGGAGTGTCATGTACAGTTTAACTGAAAGATAAGAAATGGAGAAATGGTCAGTATTGAAGTTTCTTTCTCATTGGTAATGATGTGATACAACACCACGTGAAATGTTAATTCCGCTTCTCTTTACAGACATTGAACAACTTGATAAATATTTGAAGTAAATTCTTATTTATTTTAACTCCCATATGCGCTATTGAAGCATTTTATCTTTGTCTCCTTTCAAAATCTGGCGATTCAATTGATAAAGCATCTTGAGGAAAACAAATAGCCAGAAAAGGCCTCACAGACATCACCTTCAGGGCTATGTGGTGGAAAGGTGCAATAACGTTATGCAGCCCCCAGACCATATGGAACTATAAAAGTGACGTAGCGTTAACTCAGTCTGTAGATGTGAGACTCACCTTTCACTCGTAATTTCCTCTGCATCACCACCAGTAGTGTGACCAACTCACAGATGAATAGGACTCCCAAGGTTAGGCAAACGACAACAGGCATGGAAATAGATTGACTGTCCTGTCCTTGAAGGAGGAACGGCAGACAGATTTAGCATTGCTACGGGCTGGCATGTAAAATTGTAAAGAAACCATTAACAAGAAAGCAGTGATGTCAGCTTCAAAATCATGAAAATGCCAAGAGTATAATTATCACCCGACAGGAACACAACCTTCACACAAACAATAATAGTAGCATCAATCATAAATACCCGCAGGTGGAGGTGAAGGGGAAGTCGTCAACGCATCGGATCCTGTGAAAGAGATTGTACAAATATTCATGAAGGTGAAATTTAATGTAAGAAGAGAAATGCAGTCACTAATGTGCGACATTAATAATGACCGATCGGCACCAGTCAGTATCGTGCTTACCAGAACAGATCACACTGGCAATTTCCTTGTGATTACACTTCCTTTGTGTTGGAGCAGGGGAGAGACAGTAAGATAGAGAGGATTCACGTCCCTTACACTTCACACCATTCTGCCAGATCACACCTTTACCCTGGGAGACTATGGGCCCTCCTTGAGCCGATAGAGCGAAGCCACATCTCAGCTGTCTGCAGACAACATTGGCATCAACGATATCCCAGGAGTCCCCACACAATGTGCCCCAGCGTTCATCGCACATTATCTCCACTGTCCCTGAACAGTCGCTGCTCCCTCCGCTCAGGTGCACCCTGTATTGCGAATCTGTGGCACAGAACGAATTATGATTGAATGCAGTCCACAGCAGAAACAACAGTCCGAGAGCTGGCATCTTAATAATGAAGACATACCTGATTGTTGACGGCAGGAATTTGAAATGGGGGACTGCTCCTTCGTCACATTGCTCTCTGTTAAGAGGAGAAACATGCTGACTCTATTGGAAATCAGTGTCTGAAATGACACCTGAACGTTGAGAAGTTTTGTCGTGTTACCTGAACATACAACACCGGCATCATCCCTGTGCTCACAGTCGTGTTGATCCCACTGATCTGTTCGGCATTGCCACAGGGTTGAATCGTGTGACTGGCACTCAATCTCATGGATCCAAATGGGTCCTAGCCCTGCTCCGAATAATTGAGTGTCATACATAACATCCTTAACGGCACCACAGCGCAACTGTTTACAAATCACGTCCGCATCGTGTAAATCCAGGCTTTTTGAGCACACTGTTCCCCAGGTCCCATTGTAGAAAACTTCCACTCTCCCCTCACAACGATGCTTTCCGTTCACCAGCCGTATCTCCTTGTGCTCTATTCACACAATAACAGATATCCAGATTAATAGATTGTTCATGCCTTCAGTGCACGGCAATGTGTGTGTCCTCTGAAGTCTAACACAGATTCTCAGGAGGAGCATGCCACATGATATAGAAACATGATTTGCCAGAGAAACTCAGCAGGTCTGGCAGCGTCGGTGGGGAGAAAAAGCACAGTCAACGTTTCTTGTCCAGTGACCCTTATTCTGAAGAAAGTTCAATGGTCCAGAAACGATCTTTCTGCGTTGTTTCCACAGATTCTGCCTGACGTTTGGTATGTCTCCAGCAACGTCTGTCTTTGCTACAGATTTTCATCATCCACATTTCTTAGTGTTTGGTTTCGATCATGAATTATGATATACCAAATTAAACGGTTCGAAGAACTTAAAGAACTATTAAGCAGGGAAAGGCAGTACATGCCTCGGGCATGGAGTTTTTTTTAAAAAAAGCCTTTGTCAATGTACTGCTACAATCTTGTGAAATAATTGCGCATAAGATATGATAAACAATGAAACTGATGGCAAACAGAAAGTCTGCGTTAAAGGTAAGGTCTGCAGAGCAGTGCAAGAGGCAATCCACTTTAATTGTAAAACAGCTGTGTCAAATGTGGTGAAATCTGCCAGAAAGTGTAAAGAGATCACTCAATCCTTGACCTATGAATGGTGAAAGGTTTGACAGGCACACAGAGAGGAACCGCGCTTTTGGTGGGTTGATACAAAACTAGAGATCATAACTGATTGTTTATTTTCAGTAAACGCTTTTAGATATTCAGGATAATACTTACTTTACATAGAGTACCTTTACGCGAAATTCGGAATGTATCTGATAGAGAAATAAATTCACAGGAAGGCAGTTTATAATAGAGGGGAAAATGGCTGTTTCATGTTCTGTGCGCTGTGTACACGTCAGGATCTGTTTAGTTCAATTCCAGCCTGTACATTCTCTCCAATTCAGTGTACAAGTGTCACTTTAATGCGTCACCGACAATATTACGCGGAAATAAGAATATTGAAAATGGCCTCACCTGAGCACACAATTCTCACATCTTCTTTATGAGAACAGTCGTCTTGGTGACCCAATTGTGCTGAAGGACATTCCCAAAGAAATGATTCATTTCCAGAACACTTCACATCTTTCAACCAAACTGGGCCTGAGCCCGGTCCATAGGAGGAAGGAAATGTCAAGTCCAGTGCATTTCCACATTCCAGTTGTTTGCAAACCACTTCAGCGTCCATCACATCCCAGGAGTCATCACAAACAGAGCCCCATGTCCCTTTGTAGTAAATCTCCACTCGACCAGCACAAGGGCTTCCACCATCTGATAGCCTTAACTGTAAGTGTTCTGTTAGACAAAAACACATAACATTATGCATCCATTACACAATTCTTTCATCACTCAGTCCAGCATAATATATAGATGAAGGTAAAACAAGATTAAAATGTTTCTGTGAGCGGTCCATAAAAGTATGACGCAGAATATCTTGAAAGACTAATTCGGTTAAACATAACCTTCCTGCGAGAATATACAGTTGAGAAATATTTCAGAAAATCTTATTATATCCGGGACTGCCAGTTTCAGTTTCCCTTTCTATTTTGAATATTTTATGAGTTATTGTGCAATCAGTTGGATTTTTCCTTTCTGTATCCTGTCACTCAGTTTATGGCTGTCGGTAATTCAATATATTACTGTATCCAGGCTCCTCTGATGCTCACTGGCCTGCTGTGTTCCTCCAGAACCACACTGTGTTATCTATTACTTTATACATGTTTGTCTTATTTTACAGTCCGCATAAATTTATCTTTCTTCAATACAAATCCTCTCTCTTCATTCCTTTAAATCCAATATTTTTAAGCGAAAAGTATGGCAGGATAAAACACTGTAACACATGTACAGGAGAGATATCACACCAATCTTCACAGGGAGGTGATTAATAATATTCTCATTCAGTTGTCAAATACCATGATAAAATGTTTGCTTTTAAAATTAATAGGAGCAAGGCGACATTGAGAGGAAGAGATGTTTTAAAGAGTGACTTCTGGGCGTTGTAGGCTTCGGAAAGCGAATTCCAGCGCCTGGATTGTCCCAATTAAATTCGAAATGGTCAAAATATCAGAAATAATGCAGAATAATGATATTTGAGAGTTTATGATTTGCAGGATATGAAGAGACTGTCAGGAAGAAAGCCATGGACGGGTTTAATGAGACAAATGGGAATTTAATAAGGATAGAGCCTCAGCATTTGATCAGTTGAATTAAGGGCGAAGTTATTAATAATATGATGTAAATCGATGACCTTCGACATGACGTAGATATTAAAATTACAACGTGGTCAGATTTAAGGCTCGAGATTATGGTCAGTATGATGCAGCTTTCTACAGCTTGCAAGAAGAAACATTTTGCGACAAAGATGGAAATGGTTGCAATAGAAACCATGAATGATGTCTTCTACATTCGCATTAATCGAAGCCAGACTAGCAACATCACAGTTAGGGGACGGTGCAGTGGTGAAGAGAGGTGGAGATGAGGTAGAGATATAGGGTTTGTGAACACGTGAATACTACCACTGTACCTTCTGAAAATGTAACTTAAAGGCAACATGTATATTGGAGCAACAGCAATAGACTTTTGTGTACTTGTAGAAGTAAAAATATTGAAGGAAGACGGCAAGTCTTTGTAGGTTCTTGTTTCGTGTACTTAGATAGAAAAGACCAGAGCTGATTCACAGAGTCACACATTACAGAGATCTTCAGCACAGAATAAGGATCTTCAGCCCACAGAGTCTGCTTTGATGAGAAACAAGCTCCTAAATATTCTAATATCATTTCCCAGCACCTGGGTTCACCCTGTACTCCTTGGCATCACAGGGGCACCTCTAAATACATCTGTCCCTACCACCCTGACAGGCAGTGAGCACCAAATTGCACCAATCTCCGAATGAAAAATAACATCCTCATGACCCTCAAATACTTATGTCCATTACCTTAAATGCATGATATAATGAACACAACACCTTAAAACAGGGAAATGCTTCTTTATTGCATTTTATTTTCCCGAATTCTCTCTGAACTCAGTCTCCCCGGGTCAAAAGAAAAGAATCCCAAACTGGCCAATTTGTCTTCGTAACTAATTTTTTCCAGCTTAGGGAAAAAAAAACCCTGGTACCTTTCCTCTGCATCCTCTCCAGTATTAAAAACATATCCATCTTCTGATGTGGATTCCAGGACTGCGCACACTATTCTGCTCTGGTCAAACAATGTTTCATGCAGTTTCAGCATAACCGTTTTGCACTTAAACTATTCTAATTAGCTAACAACAAACCATTTCTTTGCATTTACCGATGTAAAGTGAAGCTTCCGTTAACCCCTCCTGATATTATAATTCTCTATGTGATGACGATTTAAACTCCATCATTCCCGGGAAAAAAAAAGGCCCCAGCCTATTCAACCATTCCCTACACCTCAAACTTTCAAACCCAGCAAACTCTTTGAGCGCATTCGAGTCTAACAACATCTTTCCTGTAGCAGGGACAAAATAAATGAATGTAGTATTCCAAAAGTGGTCTAACCGATCTCCTGTGCAGCTATATCATGACATCCCAACTCCTAGACTCAAAACACTGAACAATGAAAGGTGGCGTTCCAACTACCTTCTTCACTACAATGTCTACCTGTGTCTTCACTTCCAATGAAATATGAGTTTGCCCACCAAGGTCTCATTCTTCTGCAGCAGTTCCCGGGACATTGCCATTAAGTGGATAAGTCAAATCCTCTTTGTCTTTCCAAAGTGCAGCACCGCCCATTTATTTGAATTAAACTCCAACTGCCAATCCTCGGCCATGTTGCCCATCTCATCAACGTCTGTTATACTCATTCTCACCAAAATTTGAAGTGGCGACACCACCAGCCCTCTCACAAAATTAGAAATTGGTGGTCAAATACAACAGGTCTGGCAGCATCTGTCGGAAGGAAATGATGCTTACATTTCGTGTCCACTGACACTTGGCCAGAACTAAAACATACCGCATGCACGTGTGGCAGCTTTTCCTTTGGATTATAAATTTGTTATGTTTGTATCTTACAAAATATATCTTGGTCTCTCACATTCAGTCATTTGGCTCACGTCTGATTTCACCCCAGAGAAAAATAATTGTTCTGAGTGACACTGCGGAGTAAGTGATGTACATCCTCAGTTCGCTCAGCAGATAGGTATTTGATTTGACACTTCTGAACAGGTTTATTTGGGAAGAGTCTACTCACCTGAACAGATTACGCCTGCGCCGCTGCTGTCAGTGCTGGACCAATTAAATGGGCCGAAGGTCCTGCAGTTCCGGAGCTGTGGTTCCTGTCCATGACACTGGACCCCAAGCAACCACGAACGGCTGTCACTCTCCCGGTACTTTGAAGAGTTATATGTTTCTAAGGCATAACCGCATCCCAGCTGTCTGCAGACAACGTGACCAACATTCAGATTCCAAAAAGTGTCCTGTAATCCGCCCCAGCTTCCATTGTAGTAAACTTCAACTCGGCCGTCACAGCGGCTTCCCCCATTCGCTAGTCTCAGTGCCCAGTTTTCATCTATAACATCAGAGTTTTTGAGAACAACGATTATAATGGCGACTTTCCAGAATTAACAATAACAGAAAATTATGATTTTTAATCACTAACGATGTCTTCTCCGTTTGCTTTTAACTAGTTTCATCTTGGTATTCACCTTTATTTTGTAAAAATATTGAGTGAAATGTGGAACAACACGTGGCGTTAATCTGGAGCAATGGGGATATAAAGTTGTTTAAAAATCTCGCCATAAAATAACGACTTGAACCATTCAGTCTGATTTTGGCTCTACAGACGATACCAGAGCCTCCGAATGTTACGACGGCTGTTGTGTTGCTCTTGCGTTCATTTCTGGCAGCAGAACACTTTGCATTTGGCAAATTCCACACCAGCCACCGAAGCAAAATAATACATGACATAACAGACAAGAAGGTGGTGAGGACTGAGAAAGTCTTTTCGAGGACAGTAGCAAATTTGTGATATCCAAACCTCTTGCGAAATAATGGGATGGTGCATCGATCTGTCGGTCACTAGCATTAATGTTGACACGAAAGACGTTTTGTTTTTAAAATGTCTCCATCCCATTTATATGTCAACATCTTTTTAAAAAGTACGAACACATGCAATTTCTGTGCAGACATATGTGACCACCTACATCTTTCCCGTCGGGAGTTGAGGAGAGAATGTTTTGCATTTCATGTCATGAGGCTTGTATCCAGGTGTGTGATATAATGCTCTGGGACATACCTTTATGTATATAACCCGGAATTGGGGTCTCGTTTCTGTCAGTGAACCATGAAACTATGAAGAAATATTGTAAAATAAAACTCATTCAGCTCCTAATGCTTTTCAGGAATGCAAATCTACTAGCTATAGCTGCCCTGTTTTACGTAGGACTCCAGACTCAAAGAAGATCGGGTGAACTATAATTAATGGACTATGAAAACAGCTTAGTTGGATGGAAATCAGGCATTGGCACAAATTCTGGCCGCATTGGTGAAACGTTCAAACCCCAGAAGATTCAATATAGGATTAATAACAGTTTAAATATTGGTGGAGTGTTCTTAATGTAAAGGAATATAGAGATCTTAGAAGCACGAACAGAAGGTGCTTGAACAACCCAGTCAGTCTGGAAGCATCTTTGGCAAGTGAGGGTTTTGACATTTGATCAGCGCTGGAGGTATATGCAGAAATTAAGAAAAGAAATTTTATCTGAAATGGTATTTCGGAAAAGTTCAGAAAATTGAATAAAAATGTGGATTAATGCAAATTAACTTCTGAAAATTCAAATATCACATCTCAGAATATCGCTGTTGCAAATCAAACATGGTCTCTTGATTAGTAATGTGGAGTTAGTCATCACGACATGGTAATGCAGATAGAGTATCACAATTCCGGAATTGCAGCTGGTGGAGTTTAAACTCAATTAACAACCCAAAACTGAAATCTAGTCTCAGTAATGGTGGCACTCAAACTATAATCAATTCTCCTGAAAACTCATCTGTTTCCTACATAGGATTGCAGATTAATGGATCCATGCAGTGAAGCAATCTCTGAAATGAGCCAGTTCACCAGTCAATATCAAGGTAATTACAAATGGTCAATAAATCATGGTCTCAGCGTTGATATCCCATTAAAGATTAAATAAAACAATTCAGAAGTTTGAATACAGACAACAACTATGCAGAACACTATTCAGTGACAGAACATTTGCTATGGAGGACGTACCAGAGCATACGACGTTAGCCCCATTTTCATGTGAACACATGAAGTTTTCTCCATGTGAAACTGGACAGTCCCACAATCTTCTCTCGTCACCACGACACCTGTACTTTTCCTTCCACACTGTTCCGCCTCCCTTCCCAGATCGAACTTCTCTGGGGATTGACTTTACAACCCCGCATTGAAGATGCTCACAGACCACACTGGCGTCCTGTAATCCAAAGAAATCACTGCACAGCGTTCCCCACTGATTTCCATGCAGCACTTCCACGCGCCCAGAGCACCTGTTCTCCCCATCAACCAGTCGGGGTCCATGGTTTCCTATTTTGGAACAAATAGAAATACAGAGATTTTCAAATCGACTTGTTGACTTCATGAACCTATTTGCAACACTGATACCGAAAGGATTCTGCTAAAATAAAGATTATTATGTTTTACGTAGTGTCCTGGAGAATGTAAGTAATGAGGATGCAAAAGTGCATTTGCAGCATTCTGTAGTTAGGTAGCATCTGTGTTGCTTTTGATCTCGAATGCTGGCCAAGGTAGACTGATTTAGGGAGTGATGCAATGAATGCAAAGTTAACAATATCGAGATGACCAAATGGCTGCTCTCTCGTTGGGGAGAGACGACTGATTGTGATTTATCCTGATGGGCCTCACTCGACAGTCGAGGGGCCAACTAAGAAGATGAGAATGTTCCTGGCAAACTCAGAATGTGGCAGAAATCAACGAAAGCTGTTGTGTCAGCTCTTTGCATTCCAACCCAGATGTTCAGCCAACGAAGCTAACCGATTCCCGTCTGGAATCCTGCAGTACAGTACGACAAGAAATGCAAAAGTTGTCAATATTTACTTTATGAAGAAGATTTACGTAAACATGGACAAAAATGGAATTTATGCGCTTGAGGTTAATGATTGACCTGTAATGTTGTATTACATCTGGGTGACTAAATCCAGAAAAGTACAGTGAATGCTGCATGTAGAATCCAATTGCCCAACAGTCAATATTTATTGACCAGTCGAGCCACTGTCATCTTGCCTCAAAATACGAGATATGTCGTCGAATTTTATGTCCCCTTCTGCTCCGTGTTTTTTTTTTCATTTTAATCACTTACAAGTATTGGGAAAAGGTTAAGTAATTCAATTGTGCAAAATCGTCAGAAAATCGGAAAAGAGGATGCATTAAACTTTATCTGCCACAGTAAGAAAAGTTATTATAAGCTGTAGGTTCTTGACTTTTGTAGAGTAAGGCATGGAATTTCCCATGTCTGAATTGAGACGCAGGGTAACATTTCAAAATTAGGTAATGATATCAGACATGTATGTGTTTAAACCATTAATTATGACAGCTATCAACATTAGTCGGGTATGCAAAGGACAGCAGGATGGATAGATAAGTGGAACATAGAACTAAATGCAAAGAAATGGCAGCCTGGAAAATGACGTGCAACTTGCATTTAGAGGCTTTCACTTTTTCACTATTCACATTTTGAATGAGAAAACGTAATCAGACGGATGAGCACTTCATGAGCTCATATGCGTAAAGTTGTCAGAAAACTTGGCAGAGTAATCAGAGATGCAACTTAAACTTAAATATGAAAATAGAGTTAAGTTGTTCAGAAGCAGAGACGTTGTGATGATTGTTTTCAAGTTGTCTTTAAGCTGATATAATGGCAGCGTGAAAGGGGAGCTCATGGCCTAGCGGTATTATGAATGGACTGTTAATCCAGATACCCATTTATCATTCTGGGCATCATAGTTCGAATCCTGTAAATGGTGGACATTGAATTCAACATTAAAAAAAAACAACTGCAATTGAGAGTCTAATGGTAAACCGTGAATGCACTGCAGAATGTCAAGGAAAAGCCCATCTAGTTCAATAGTGTCCTTTAGGAAAGGAAACTGCCATCCCTATCTGGTCTGGTATGGCCTACATGCGACTCCAGACCCCCAGCAATGTGACTGACTCTTAACTACCCTTTGGCAAATTCAGGATGGGCAATAAATGCTGGTCTAGACAGCGACGCCTTCATCCCCTGAATGCACACGCAATTCACAAAAATATGTCATGGTCCTGCTGGAGGCACTGATAAGCGATGCTCAAATAGATATATGAACCACTTACTATTTTCAACAAGTGTAGTGGACAGACTGTCGTTCATCTTGAAGTAGTAGAGCGGGAGCAGAAGGAAGTACAAGAGAACATGCGTTTCTCTTACAAGGCGGTTAAGAAAACAAACAAATACTACTCCCGTTGTTGGTCGCCAGAATTGTATTCGGCACAAATGTTCAGATTTGTGGCAAGAGCCGTAGTGTTCATTGGAAAGAAAGCGAATCAGACAACTGATAATACAGACACTAATGTGAAATGCAGAGTGATTTTAAGGCAAGACAAACTCAAACCAATGTGAATGGTCAGGGAATCAAATGGATCGCCTTTGGATGTCATGGAATGTGCAGAAAACGATGGTAGGAAAAATGACCATGATGATACATGTCAGATGATGCGTTATTGTGAGCTGGAACCTTTTGCTGAAGAAGTTGTTGGAAAGAGTGGTGGACAATTATTTCAGACAGTTTGCAAACGTTGTTCAGAAATATTGTCGAGGCAGGGATGGTAAAGGCATCTATTGGCTTTTCACAAATTTATGTATCTGATATTCACTTCAATGACAGAAGGAGATTTTTAGAGTGCAGATAAACGACACAAAGTCGTTCTGTCAGCGAACACAAAATCAAATTTCGTTATTTATTGTGTTGCACATGTGATAGTTCGAGCGGGGCAGCTCTGTGAATGTGATTTTAAGTGAAATCAGAATGAACACCTGTGTTAAATATTATTGTCAATTATCCACTTTTAGACAATCTATTCAGTAAAATATGTTGATTGCACCGAGTCTACAACTTGAGGAAATGTCTTATCCGATACAAGATTAAACATTTTGAAACATCTAAATTTCCAATAATTGCGAGTATATTTTGCCAAATTACATTTAGTGCATGATAACATTGGAATCTAAAAGGATTAGTTTAAGATTGATACTGTTTTAAGCAATGTCAGGAATCCCAGCGCCATCACTTTCACAAACATTAAAACGAAATCTGTTTTCTTTTCCCCATTAAGTATGTACTCACCAGAACATATCAGGCTGACATTGTTGTGTCCACTGCAATCCTGGTGAGTGTCTGAAGACCGAGAGCACTTCCACAGCTGAGTCTCATTGCCCGCACATTTAAAGACCTCATTACCCATGAGCACAGTACTGCCTCCAGAATGAGCAGAGCTTGAAACAGATACGGCCACTCCACAATGAAGCTGTGCACAGACCACATTGGCGTTTTTCAAATCCCAGTCAAGACCACACACTGTTTTCGAGGTGTCACCGAACTGGACCTCCAGTCGACCGAAGCATTGGGAATTTCCAGGTACCAACCTCGGAGCTCTGTGTTCTGGAAAAAAAAAGGTCGGTGGATCATGTCAAATTACAACAAGAATAACTCACATTGTTCACTGATGAACATTCCTCTGATTAATGACAGATCTGGCACATTCGTCTGGAAAACGTTCCATCAATAATTGTTTGCTTGGTGCCCTGGCGACATTATTTATGTTTACTCCCCAGAATCCTGACCAGGTCCGACAGAAGGCGATTTTCAGACTGCAGATAAACGACACAACGTGTTTCTGCCAGCCAACATAATGTCAAATCACTTTACTTATTGGGTTGTACACGTGCTACTTCCAGCGGTGCAGCTCTCTCAATGTGATTTCAAGTGAAATCAGAATGAATACTTGTCGTCCCCGTCCCCTCCCTGGCGTACAAAACGTCAGGGTTTCTCAGCTCTTCCATTACCTTCACACGTTCAACAGATCATATAACGATACCGAATAAATCAATTATTCTATTTTTATCATGTTCATAATTGTTAAACAGTTGTTGTTCTGTTATAATATCCTTTTCTGGTTTCAGGCAGAATCGGGTTTTGATGCGAATACAGAGAAACAGAGGTCGATTTTTACCTGAACAGATGACACCAGCATCATAGTTGTGTGACCAGGAGCTGTGATCCCACTTCCATGATTGACATTCCCGCAGAGAACGCTCTTTCCCGCTGCACCTCACATTCCCTGTCACAACGAATCCGGATCCTGGTCCAAAGTGAGCCCCACGATGGGCAGAGACCGCGTTCCCACAGTCCAGCTCCCGACAAACAACGGTAGCATCTGCCAGGTCCCAGTTATACTCGTTCACAGTCCCCCACAGCCCTTTGTGGAGAACCTCCACTCGGCCAGCGCAAGGACTGCCCCCATTCTCAAGTCTCAGACTCACTGGAAAACACAGAAATCGCAAACAAGGTTAGCAATGTGCAATAATAAATGCTCCCATCACAGCTCTTGTCCCTCATACATTGTGAGTGAGGAGATGGTACAGATGCACTCCTTCATAATGTAACTCAATAAATGTATCATATGTGGTACAGGGGGAAGGGAACGTTTTCAGGTCAGAATCAGTGCTGCTCACTCACAGAGAGCGAGGGTCAGAGAAACGTTTCCTTAGAAAAGATGACATGAAACGGGCCATCGTCAGAAGTTTGTTTTTATTATTATTTATTCTTGGGGTGTGAGTGTCGCTGGCTGGGCCCGCATATATTCCCCTCTCCCTAGTTGCCCATTTGAGAAGGTAGGGGTGAGCTGCCTTCTTGAACCGCTGCAGTGTGTGCACTACAGGTACACCACAATGCCCTGAGAGAGGGATTTTCAGGATTCTTACCCAGCGACAGAGAAGGAATTGAACAGTGGCTCAGTAGTTAACGCTACGGCCGCACAGCGCCACTGAAGCGGTATTGATTCTAGCCTCAGAGGTTGCCTGCGTGGAGTTGGCGCCTTCTCCCCGTGTCTACGTGGATTTCACCCAAGTGATCCACTTTCCTCCCCCAGTCCAAAGATGTGCAGGTTAGGTGAATTGGCCATGCTAAATTATACACCCAGCGTGCAGTTACCCGTAGGTTATGCAGACGAGCATGGTAAATTCGGAGTTGCAGGGAAAGAATAGGGGTTTATCTGAGTGAGATGCTCCTCGCAGGGTTGCATAGCCTGCTTCCACACTGAAGGGATTCTATGACCAATGACAGATTTCCAAGTCAGGACGGTGAGTGGCTTGGAGGGGATTTTGCAGGTGGTGGTTTTCCCATGTATCTGCTGCCATCGTCCTTCTGGATGGAAGTGGTCGTTCCTTTGGAAGTTGTCATCAAGGTAAATTTCCCAAATGTGTCTTGTCGATGGAACGTACTGCTGCTTCTGAGCGTCGGTGGTGGCAGGAGTGGATGTTTTTGAATGTAATACCAATTGGGTGGGCTGCTTTGTTCTGAATGGTGTTCGACCTTCTTGAAATTTGTTGGAGCTGCGCGCATCCCGGTAATTGCTCAGAAAATATTTTGCCTTCAAGAAAGCCGAGAGGGGCGAGGCCAGTTATGAGCTTTTGTTCATCGTGAGTGGCGAGAAAGCACAGAGGTCCCGCCCTGTGGGCACCAGAAAATGAAACGGTACTTCCGCCTCTCACAGACAGAACAAATGAGGGACGCATGATAATGTGAGCACGATCCAACTGATCGCCAGTGAGTGAAATAATTTCACAACTCAGCTCTATGTGTCGAACTGTTTCTTCACGTTCTCCCCGTTCATTGTCTCTCGATATGAGCACAGCAATGTGAGTGGGTGATGAATGCTCACACCCTCCAGGAATACTGAAATTGGAGATCTTCAAGAGTAATGTATCCCCCTTCTGTTATGAATAATCAGCTGGTCACCACATCCACATTAACGCATGGACACGATCAGCACAACTTGGTGTTTGAACAGATACATCAGCAAATACGGATTGCACTCCATATGAAAATAACGTGAACTTACCTGTACTGTCGGCTTGTGTGTCGACAAGTCTGTCTGAAAGTTAGAGGGATGAGAATTAAAGTTTTAGGAATCATTGCAAAACGTAGAGATAAATTAACCAGATGCAAGAAACTGGAGGTAAGAATTATCATCACTTTGCGAAAGAAATGATATCTGAAAATGTGAAATCATCATTACATGCAATATTTATAATCCAGGGAGTGTAATTTCTGAAGGGAACAGATATTGTCATTCTTTTGTCTTAATATAACGAATAGTTTTCACACAGACAGGCACAGTGACAACTAATGTTCTGGGACTTTTGCTGAGCCTCTTTGGGACCCAGTTGGCAGTGTGAATGCCACTGAAAATTACTGACTGTTCTGCTCGGTGCGGCACTGCCGAGTAAATCAACATTGTTATGATCCCTGCAGAGAACATTGCTAATTCCCAGCGGTCAAAGCAACGAGCCCATATAAAAAAAAATAAGTAGATTAATATTTTTACTTGATCAACAACACTGAAATAAACAATAACATAATAGTATTTAATCACTAACTAACTCCCGAAAGTATAATCTGAAAGCCACATAAAAGAAAAAAAATGAGCTGAACATTGCTTCCGCAAAATGCTTCTCCCATTTGTTTTTTTCTTAGGAGATAAAAAAAAATGTATAAAGGAATAACAGTGGATTATGAAGTCAGTTATTTATGGTTTCGGTACGAGGTGAATATTGAAGTGGTTTATGCAGCTTACAAATTCACATTTGGTACAATTCTGTTACTGTTTAACATAACATTTCACTAAGGAACGGGGCCATTAATCATCACATTATATATTATCGGATGCGAGAATGTTGTTATTTCAAGATAAGTAGTTATTGGATAAAACATAACAATCTGTTTAAACCTTTAACAACTTGAAAGATTGCATTACTGACGCCGAAACAAAATAATGTACAAGAAACCCAAATCCAAGGTTATTTTGCTCCTCTATCAAGTCTGTTGGCTTCTCTTCGTGTCTTCTTCTCAATTCCCACTGTGAAATGAGACGGCTATTTCTGGAATAGCCGTTCGCTTGAAGGATTAAACTCTGTCAGATATTTAATCATTTTCGGAATTCGAACTAAACACTAAAGAATCGCCAACTAAACACAGAAGATATTCTTTCAATTATTCTGATCAACCTCTTTATCAATGACAACTTATTCTTGCATCGGTCCCCAGTCAGGTCTCCTTCAAACTGAACCTGAAAGGTTTCAAATTAAAACACCTCCCAGTTTTACAGGGTCTTGGTGAGACCGTACCTGGAATATTGTGTGTAGTTTTGGTCTCTTTTCTGAGGAAGGATGCTCTTAATCTTGCGAGAGTGCAGCACATGTTGACAAGGATAATTCCAGGCATGGCGGGTCTGGCGTATGAGCAGAGGTTGACGAGGTTGGGATTGTTTTCGCTGGAGTTCAGACGAATGAAGGGGAATCTCACAGAGACTTATAAAACTCCAACAGGACTGACCAGGGTAGATGCAGGGAGGATGTACCTGCTGGTGGATGTATCCAGAACCATGGGTCACAGTATGGGGATTCGGGGTGGACGATTTAGGACAGAGATGAGTTGCATTTTCTTCAACCAAAGAGTGGTGAGCCTGTGGAATTCATTACTACAGGAAGTAGTTAATGTCAAAATATTGAATGTATTCGAGAGGGGACTAGATATCGCACTTGGGGCGAAAAGGATCGTTATTGGATGAAAGCAGGATTAGGCTATTGAACTGGACGATCATTCAAGATCGTGAAGAATGGGCTCTTCATTCTCCTAACTTCTATGTTTCTATAAATTAATGATTTCGCTGTCTTGTCGCAAATATTATCTCGTCCAAAAATACAAACCCCTTGACAAAAATAGAACCAAAGTAATAAGACACCAAGTGAAAAGCAAAATAATGTGCAGGTTGGAAATCTGAAACAAATGCAGAGAACGCTGGAGAAACCCAGCAGGCATAGCAGCGTATGGAGAGACAGAAACGGTGTTAATTCTGCGAGCCTGGCATGATACTTTGTTTTTGTTCTCCAATTCTGAAGAATAGGCATACTGGACTCGAAATGCTACCTCTGTTTGTCTCTTCATACATGCTCACAGACTGCTGAGTTGCTTCCACAATCTCTATGCTTGTTTGAGCAATACCATACAAAAGCTATGCGAAAGTATTGGAATCAAATCCCTTTCTTCATAAAATAAACGGTTTTTAAAGTAAAAAAAAACGCATAAAGTATCCAAATTTCAAGAATGTGAAACGTAGTCTTCGAAAAAAGCACACAAAGTTCTGTGTGTGTTTTTACAACAAAAATTCACATGAAATTATATAAATTCTGTCTTCTGGAAATAAAATGCAGTCATTGTCAATAGCACTCTACCAGCAGACGCAGTGTAAATTGATTCACTGAAAGCTGCGCATCAATAAAATCTGCATACACTAGAAACTCTGCGTCCCAGACATTTCATTCCCGAAATGCTGACTTAATCCCTAAGATATTCTTCATGAAAACAGTAAACAGAATTCGGATTCAAGACTTAATTATTTAATACTCACAGAACTACCACTGATAAATGCAGAAAGGATTTTCACTCATGGAACATTCCCTTGAGCAGGAACAATTAACTGCTGTTGACAGGGATTAATTGAAGCAATTACAGACAGGTTTTTAATAGTGAGAAACAGAATGAGAACGAAGACTTCATATCTCATTGAATAATTCTTCACACTGAGTAAATAGAGTGAAGTTTGAAAGAGATCGAGAAACCAAATTTAACACAAATCAAATATCTACACTTATATGAACAATGTTAATGTACTACACCATTGCATTTACCAGAATCTGAACTGGGATATCATTCTTTCGCTAGAAGTGGAGAACAGATGGCGAATTTTCTGCATAATACAAGTTGCGATTCCAAAAGATTGGTTACTGTCAGCAGGACACAATCCAGGTCCATGAAAACATATTTGCTACTTCCATTACTGTAATGAACTGAAACATGCTTTCAGAAGCTCGACGGCACGTGGTGCAAAGTAACCGGCTTCATTTACACTCCTTAAATTAACTTAACAACTTAACTTAACTTAACTTAACAACATTCACGACCAAAGTTCACCCACCAGAAGTAGCACCAGGAGAGTAAACTGCAACAACTCAGCTCAACTCCTTCACAACACTAAACAAAACTGCACTCTCAGCAATGATTAAAGGTGCACAGAAATTGGAAACAGCACCTACAGGCCCCCATTCGAATTGAAATGACAACGTTGTCCCTTGACTGGTACTTGAGCAATATTCTATACTATTCTAGCCTTAACAGAATGCAATGGTTCATGAACACAGATCACCAACACTAGACTTGGATTTTTAGGAACACTGGCCAAAACAGACATCCCCATATTTTTGAACAAAAATAGAAATATATTGGGAGGATTAATGTCCCTTTAGTAATTGTCGCCACTACCCATTTATCATTAAGAATAAATTAAGCAAAAGAATCAGACTAGATATTTCAGTGATATAGATTTTGACAATTTAAATTAATGAAAACAAGGCAAAATGAGTAAACTGCCTTGACATATCCGTCAAAATCTAAGTTTAGCACAATTCTCAACAGAAAACAGAAACATCTTTAAAATGCATTTAAATTGTCAAAGCGGAAACATTGCCAGCAAAATGATATTATTGTTCGCCCTGTCTCAATTTGCAGCACTCTTTCCCCTGACTCAAAAACTCAATAGTTTTCAAACGGATTTCTAGTGCTTGAGCTGAATGGAAAGCTCAGTACTGACGGTAGTTTGCACACATATCTGAGGAGTGTGGAGGGGGTTCAGGATTTGGTAGTGGTAGAGACTGACACACATGTTCTTCTGGACTATGGCATTGCAAAGCAAGTGTACGCAAAGACGTCGTTTGTAATTTGTGGTTTGTTTCAAGCAGCTCCGTGACAAGGATTCTGTGCTGTCCAGTCTGTTCTCCAGAGGGACAAAAACATCGTCTACATCTGGAGGACCACCAACTCGGTCAAAGACGCTCTTTGGTCTATCTGAAAACTGTTGGCCTTCCAAAGCAAGAAGTTGACCTCGACCTCGCGTTACAGACTGGTATAGTCCAAAGTCAATGTCTACATGCTGAGGGATACAGTAAAGCTTAGACTGGCTACCATCAAGTCTCAATGGAGACTTACTACTGTCTGACTTTTCTCTGCTAAGTGTTAAATTGAACCCTCCTGATGACTCTAATATATGTCAAAAATTGTACAAGTAAGAGATGGCATTGCCTTATTTGCTGGATAGTCAAACTCCAATGCTTGTTGTTGCAACATGCGTTACTCCAGAGAACAGAACTGCTTCAGTTACTGTTTATGCTATGCCTCGTCATTTTATTAATAAAGTATATCCTTGAACAACAGAAATAAAATCTCTTAGAAAAGCCACTAACTCGATTATTGGAATGGACTTTCAGCAACAACCGTTCAAATACAGACAGAGGACGTTATGGATACTGCTTTGGCAGTGGCCACCTTTCGAAGAAATTCAGAAAAAAAGAACAGCTCAGAAAAAAGACAAAGCACTACGGATGCTGGAAATCAGAAAGGAAATTCTTTGAAATCTTGGAAAAACTCAGTCGGTCTGGCAGCATATGTGTATAGCAAGCAGAATGAACATTTGGGGTTCAGTGTCCCTTCGGTTTTTCCAAGATAAGCAACTATGTGTGCCCTTGTCACGGCGATGATTTTTACACTTTTCCTCCGAAAAAAAAAATGTCTGTCACGTTTCCAAAAATGTAGAACTGCTTCAACAACAGAATCTATCAAATTGGTACACCGCTTCTTTGTTTCACCGAGGACATGAACGGCGCATTGTAAATATATCATTATCCAGACAGAGTTGGTGCAATATTGACAGGAGAAATACGAACCGAAATGAGTGTCACATCAAATTTCTAAAATTTCAAAGAAAGTCAGTTTCTATTTTACCTTCTTCCAAATTTGACAAATACTTTAGGTGGATATTTTTCAGCAGGTTTCCCCACGACATACACACTGTTAAACCAGAGACAGTCTTAGTTTCTAACAGACCCAAATTGTCTGAGTACAGTTTCAACTCTTGTGAGCAGTATATAAGACAAGAACAAAGTGCAAGGATTGAGGAGCTGAAGGGTGGGAGCTCCGAAGTCCCATAAACTGTTGCAAAATAGTCAGAGAAAAATTTAAAAAATGTAATTTTCATTCCACTCGTGTCAATTTTTTTTTCTCTTGCATGTAGCATTCTCATTTAAATCTAAGTAATGATTAGTGAATCAATAGTTAAGGGAATGTATTCAATAGACCATAACTCACAGTTCAATAGCTGCAGAAGAAGCAAGTTCAGGAGTATTACACACATCGTCCCAGCTGCTGGTGTAAGTTGAAATCTGACTGAACATTAGCTGTATGTTGTTTCACAGATACTGAGCAACAGTGAACGTATCAAATGACTCCTCGATTTGTGTAAGAATTAGTTACTTGGCCACAGATTGTACAGAGACCCGTGTTTCTCTCCATTAGCCAATAGAGTTTGATGTGAGCACACTGTGAATTAAATTCTAGTCTTCTCCCCAATAAGAAGTGATATGACCATTAATGGATACAATGAAACCGGGTTCCAAGCACCAGCTCATCTTCAGAGATCAATGACGTTTCAGATGCTGATATGGAGCGAGTTCCCACTCCGGAATCCATATCATAGAATCACACACCACAGGAGGTTTTTGGTGTTAGATTGCTCAAAAAAACTGTGCAATTCAGTATTGCACAGAGCAGCTGGCAGAAAAAAAATACTCCTCAATTTCCACTCTGCATTTTGCACTCTTGAGTATTCAAAATGGATTCCAAAATCTTCAGAGCAATTCTCTATTCTTCCTTTGAATTGCAATTCACCCCCTTCCTCCTTTATATATTTGTGTCCTGTAGGCATCGGTCTCAGCAGGGAAGACACATTTTCAACTCATCATACCAACCAGTAGCAGGCATTCTGCATCTTACTTCTCTCCGATATCATAACTAGCAGTCCCTTTGTCTTTTGTTCTTTTCAAACTCACAACGTGTTAAACTGGCTTCTCCTTGCCGTTCTGTGCACAGTTTAAAAACTATCACTGTTCCAAACATTCATATTGGATTCAAAACATCAACTCTCTTTCTCTGTCCACAGATGCTGCCAGAATTTTTGACTTTTTTTTTGAATTTCGGCTTTCTATCTTTCTGAAAATGTTAAACCTTCAACTAATTTTCCAATTTACTTTAAATAGATCACCAAAAACCTGACATTATACTTAGTTTATTGTTTCAAAACCTCCCCCATCCCCTGGGTGAGCTGATTCTCCTCAATATCCCTTTCTATATTTGACCAGTCATGGTCATTTCATAGAATTTCCATACCAACTGACGTGCAAGAGGAAATGATTATTTTCTGTCTTCATCTGTAAAATCTCGTTCAATTTCAAATAACTTTGGTTTTGGGCCTCAGATTTCCGTTTCCTGATGGACATCGCAATACAATATAATCTATGGCCATTCAAATTTGACACATATTGGTATTACCATGCATCCTCTTGATATTCCCATGCATCCTCTTGATATTCCTCGTCTATAAAGACTCCAGAGGTTGAAGTCATGCCGCCATGACTTTGCATATATCTTACATATAAATGCAATCTAAAGATGATCAATCCCTCGAACCTAATAATTTGCATTTATCGGCACTGTAGGATGTGGAAAGAGATTCAGTGGATGGTTTGGTGTGTCATAGTCCAAAGATTGCAGATTCTGCGAAGATCCAGGAGACTGAGTGTGAAAAATGTGACACAACTGTTTTAAAGTTGAGGACAGGACTATCTGTGACAGAGAATTCATGGAACTCAACGCGGTATCAGGCAAAAGTTCGTGTCAACTGCAAGTAAAGTGATAACAGGCAACTTAAAAAGTTTCAACAGTGATCAGAAAATGACAGCATGGATTTATTGGAGGGAAGTCATATTGGAGAACTCCACAGTTTTTGAGGTGATAACGATTATATTAAATTTGGAAAAGAACTACTCCACATCGTGTTAATAGATGTTGGAATGCTTTCCATAAAATCTCACATGTTAGGGTGATGTTAAAAATTAAAACCCACACAAATGCAGGGATGTTATTGACCAGGACTGAGAATTAGTTCACAGACCAAAAAAAAACAAATAAACGTCTTTTCAGTTGAAAGCGGTGATTATTTGGGTGCAAGGGAAACCTGCTGTTGGGCCGCTGCTATGCATAATGTACATCGAAGATTTTGGACAAGGGAATAAAATGTTTATTGCCAGGTTTGCTGATGAGAACCATGCAAAGAGGCTTCAAGGCCTTCTAGACAGATTGAGTCGATTTGCAAATATCAGAAAGATGCAGTTTAATTATGATTAGTGTGACATTGTCGACATTGGAGCGAAAAGAAAAGAGAATAGAACACTGTTGTGTTATTTAAATATTTAAAGATTAGGAAGCAGTAAGGAACAAAGTGATGCAGGCGAGCTTGTCCACCAGTAATCGAAACCAAGACAGCAGGTATGAGATAAAAAGGCAAGGGGTGAGTTGGCCTTCATTGGACAAAAGCTTCAGTGCAAGAGGAAAATATTTTATTACAGAAATGAATAGATTTCCTGCCATGAAAGCGTATACATGATGGCCGCGGAAGTTAAAGGTAAAATGTAATTTTCCAGGGGAACGTCAGGCTGCTCTATTATCGCAGAGACGGAGAGATATACATGTACACACACGCACAGAGAGAGAGAGAGAGAAAGAGAGAGGGATAGATAGATAGATAGATAGGTGGATAGATAGGTAGATAGATAGATAGATAGACAGACAGCCCGACAGACAGATAGAGAGAGAGAGAAAGAGAGAGAGAGAGTTAACGCAGTTCACTGGAGTTTTGGTTTGCGAAACAGACTAATGCCAACAAGTATTTAAGAACGCGTGTGAACATATGCGTCATAGTTTCATGCATTTAATTCCATAACCAGATGCTTTTGAAACGTTGTGCGAGTGACTGCTTCCATCAGCAGCGCGCAATATATTTCCAGAAACCTCTGGGTCAACACCAAATTTCCTCAGCACTCCTTTAAACCACTTGTTCCTCATGTTAAATATGTGCAGGCAAGTTGCCCATGGTGAAAACATTCACACAATACACCCTGTCGATGCGACTCATAATTGTGTCCTACTTAATCAGGTTGCCTCTCAGCCTCCTTGGTTAAGGAAAGCGAACCCTTCCTATCCAGTCTCAGGTCACGTCTGAGACTTTTCCTTCCAGACAAAATGGTATTATATCTCCCCTGCACCCTCTCTAATGCAATCACGTACCTGTAATACTTTGGCTACTGGAACTGTGTGCTGTATGTTTCCAAAATAATGTTTTGTAAATTAACAACAAGTCTTACTTTTTGCTACCTTCTCTAACCCCCTCTAATCAAGGTAAACATCCCGTGCGCCTTCTTCACCAATTTGCCTTCTTGTGCTGACATCTTTAGGGATCTACGTAGTGTACACTAAAGACCCTTTTTCCTCGGTACTCCCCAGAGTCTTACCATTTGTTATATGTATTCTTCCCTTTTTAGGCCACAAAAATGCATAACCATTCACTTGTCGGGGTTAAGTTCCATCTGCAATTGCTCTGCCTGATCTTCCAGCTGGTCACCAGCAGAATATCGACTGAGACCATTCTCTTCACAATCAAAAGCATCACTGATCTTCACATTATCTGAAAACGTCATAATTATACTTTCTACAATCATATCCAAGTGGTCAATGCATTCAAACAACAAGGATTCAAGTGCCGATGCCTATGTCACACCTCTCGTCAAAAGCTTCAAACCATTAAATCAACATTCATTATCAGTCTTGGTCTCACATTTGCAGGCCAATTTTGAACTTAGATTTCCAAATTACCATGAATCCCATAGGCGTTTATTTATTTTTTATCAGCCTTCCATGTGGACCTTGACAAATGCCTTACTGAAGTTCATGTAAACCACATTAACAGCAGTTCTCTCATAAATATGTTTAATACCATTTCCAAAAAGATTCTATTAGATTAATCAGACAGGATCTCTCTCTCTCTCTAGCAAATCACTGCTGACGATCCCTAGTCAATGCTTGCACTTCCAAGTGCTGATTCATCCTGTTCCTCATAACTTTTTCTCCAAAAATTTCATTGCATCTGACATCAACCTGACTTCCCTCACATGACTTCGGCTGTCCCAGCTGCCTTTATCAAGGAACAACGTTGTCCTTCACTCACCTGGTACTTCATCTCGTTCCAGGGAAGTACACAATATATTCACCAGAGCCCCAATAATCTCCGGTCTTGCATTAAATATCAGATTTGGGATATATGCCTTTAGGCCCTGTGATTTATGCAACTTTACGCCTCCACAGTAACAAATCCTTCTTCTTTATTGATCTGCAGCCTCGCCATTTTAAGAGAAATCACCAGCTACAATTACTTGCCCTTCTATGAATACAGACGGTAATTACTCAGCTCACACCTCTATCTCGAGGCACAGTTTGGTCCTTCGGTCTCCAGTAGACCACACTCTTCCCTCTCCCTCGTAACATACTCCTAAAGTGCCTGGGGCTGGTGAGTGGGGTGGTTTCCTTCATACTATCAGCCAAAGATATATCACACGTCGTCTTTTTTCTTTTTTCAGATCACACATAAACTGACCAAACTCCCCTCCCACAGGCACAGGTACACAAAAACTCATTCTTTATACTTTGAAAGGCCTTTCCGTTCCTTCGTGCCATGTGTCTGACATATTGCGCTGCCTTTTTCCTTCTCAAACTCTCGAGTTTCCTTGAAATTCAGAGTTCCCCTGAACCTTATGCAGTTGCCCTTCACTATTAGAGAAACACACTGGCCATTAATTTTGAATCAGAGATAGTAGGAACTGCAGATGCTGGAGAATCCGAGACAACAAGGTGCAGGGCTGGATGAACACAGCAGGCCAAGCAGCATCATAGGAGCAGAGAGGCTGACGTTTCGGGCCTAGATCCTTCCATTAATTTTCCTTGTTTGAGTACACTCAATTAGCTTTTCCTAGTACACAATTGCCAGATCCTGGTTAATAGTACTGAAATGATTCTGATATGATTTTAGACCCTTAAATTCAGCAAGATTCGTATCCTTTGCCAAAATTACTTTGAACCTTACAGCATTATGGTCGCTAATACTAAAATGCTCACCCATAAGTACACCAGAACTTTCATTCACTTGTATTAGGATTAGAACTGCACTCGGTCTTTTAGAACGTTCCACTTACTGGCACAAAATGATCTCCTGGGTACTCTTTAAGAATTTTGCCTTGTCTAATCCTTTCAACACTGAGGCGAGCCAAGTTAAGAAAGCAAAGATGAAACAACTTTCAAGTATCAACCCATTCCTCTAACATATTCAAGATGGAACAGTATTGTTGGGCCGAATTGCCTAAACCTGTTCTTAATTTATGTTTGCTTTCGTGAATAAAACAAAAACTGACAATTTTCCATGCTCAGTCAACTTTCCTGTGGACGTCATTTCCTTGTAATCTGTCCCCTAGAAAACAATTGTGCCGACAAAAACATTGTTAAGTTCATACATTGTTTTTAAAATGTGATTTGAAATTAGCCAGTTTAGCCAACATTTTTATACGCTCCTAACTGACTTTGAAGTCAGTGCCTTGCTAAGTGAATTCAGAAATCAGTTAAGATTCAACTACTAAACATTATACTGGCTCAAGTTTCAGAAAAGGACAAGACTTATTCGGGATGCCCTATTTCCTTGCCTCAATAACATGACTAGACGAGATGGATTGTAAAGACAGTTGATTAAAGGCCACATAACAGTTCATTTTTAAAAAGAAATCGGTTTGAAATTCCACAAACTGCCACATCGTGCTTTCTAATCAATTTCCAGGCCCTGCAGATTACTGTCTCAGTTTCGCTTCATATCAGTCACTGTCTCTCCTCAAAGCCCACGTTCCAGTAATAGATGGTCTCATGAACATAAAACACGAAAATTTGAACGTTTTAAACCATTGGCCCACGAGAATCAATATCTAAGATCATGTCATTCTGGCAACAGCTTCACAGAAATGGATACAGCAATACAGAAGAAGACCAGCGATAAATTCAGATCAGTTTGGAGTTTGAACTATGTTTTACTTGCACGTCAGAACATGTGGAAAGAATGGGGGTGTGGGAGGTCGGGGAGATCAGAGTTTCTGATGTATACAAGTCTGCAATGAAATACAGGTCATATTGCCCTGCAGCCAAATTCAAATGACTGTTCAAAAAATATAAATCATGGGGTATCGGCATCGCTGTCTTGTCCAGCACTTGCTGCCCATTACTATTTGGTCTTGAGAAGGTGGTGGCGAGTTGCCTTTTTGAATCTCTGTCGTCCATATGCTGTAGGTAGGAATACAATGCCATTAAGGAGGGATTTCCAGGATTTGACACAGCATATGTGAAGGAAAGCAACATATTTCCAAGTCAGCATGATGACTGTCATGGATGAGAACTTGCAGCTTTCACGTTTATCTGTTATTTTCAGTCTTGTGGATGGAAATGGTCGTAGGTTTGGAAGGCCTTGTCTGAGACTTGGTGAATTTCTGCAGCATATGTTGAAAATAGCACACACTGCTGCTACTGAGTATCGATAGTGGAGTCGGTGCATGTTTGTGGATGTGGTGCCACTTAAGTAGGATGATTTGCCCTGGATTGCGTCGAGCTTCTTGAGTTTTGTTTGAGCTGCACCCATCCCATCTTTCGGGAGTACTTGATCACACGGTCTCTCTCTGCACCGATGTAGTGAGACATGCTGAAGTTGTTCAGTATTCTAGATGTTTAATTGGGAGCTAAGTGGCCCTTGTGGAGCTCAGACGAGGCATCAGTGTGCAGTTCATTCCTTTTTAAGTGCTGTTTGACAGCACTGCTGTGATCCCTTCAATCATATTATTGCTGATTGACAGTATGTAATTCAGTGAATAATTGGCCTAGTTGGATTTATCCTGCTTGTTATGTAAGAACACAAGTCAATTTTCCACGCTGACTGTAGACAGTACAAGTACAGAAGGTCTGAAACAACGTTCAATGTGCCTAATTATTCTTCCCAGGTGACGACTTCTTGTTGAAATGTAGATCACATGGCATGTGATACAAAATCGGCTTGGCCATAGAAGACAAAGGGAAATTGTGCAAGTCAGTTCTTTTGTCTCCCGATAGGTCTACAAGGATCAGTGCTGGGAACTCGGATGCTTGTAAAATACCTCAGTCATTTGGATGAAAATGTAGGTGGTTTGATCAGTAACTTTCAAGTAGCTACAATTATCCTTAATGCCCTTTCAGAATCCACATCGCTCCTTAACTACAATAAGACCAATCTTTGTCTTTTACTTTGGTCACTCTGACCATCTCTTTCCCTCACGCATCTCAGGTGAACAACACATAAATCAGTACCATCCAACGATCTTCAGTTCTGAATATCTGGAAACAGACTCGAAATATTACCCCAATATTTCTCCCGAGTTTCTGCAGGTATTTCCGTTCTTAATGCAGACTCAGAACTTTGATTGCATGACGATGGTTACAAAACTGCATCCAGTTTACAGTGGCCAGTCGCATTTTTTATTCATTCACAGAATGAGAGCGTCGCTGCCAGGCAGCATTTATTGCCCATCCTTATTTGCCCCGAGGGCAGTTCAGCATCAACCACATTGCTGTGAGTCTGGAGCCAGACCAGGCAAGGATAGTAGAGATAGTAGGAACTGCAGATGCTGGAGAATCCGAGACAACAAGGTGCAGGGCTGGATGAACACAGCAGGCCAAGCAGCATCACAGGAGCAGAGAGGCTGACGTTTCGGGCCTAGACCCTTCATCAGAAAAGGATAGTAGATTCCTTCCCTAAAGGACATTGGTAAGCCAGATAGGGATTTCCCCGTCAGTCGGCAAGGGATTTATGGTCATCATGTGACTCTTAATTTTTGATATTTATTGAATTCAATACCATCATGTGCCATGGCAGGATTCGAACCCGGGAGACTAGAACATTATCTGGGTCTCTGTATTAACAGTCCAGTAATAATATCACTCGGCCATTGCCTCCTCAATTTATACTCATTACAACAATATTCAGTTCAATTTGTGCTGCTATGCTCTGTTTGTCTGCATGACAGTGTCTAAGCAATGATTAACAGCTGCGCTGCAGAACCTCACAACGCCTATGGTTTGTGTTAAGATAGAAGGCAACTTGCCAACTATCTGATTAAATGCAATCTTTCAGAGAGAAGCGGAATAGTAACTTGCCAGAAATGCTGGACATTCCCCCTCATTAATCAGCACCAAGTAAGGCACGACCTCCTGCCTGAAAAAAGATTTAGAAGCAATTTTATGGAAAAGTGATAATTTGTAATCAGAAAAGATTTACGCAAGGCTCAGTATATGAAACACAGTTCTCAGTTGTGTGAACCACAGAACTGTCACTGTGCATCTTGCCTTGCTGTTGAATCAACAGGAAACACCTGGCATTGTGGTAAATTCTATGTTCAGGATTTTTCGCTTGCTTCACCTCCAATATTAAAAATTACAGATGGATACCAAAGTAAATTTAGATTTATAATTGAATCTCCATGTTATCCCATTGAGCATTTCATCATGGCACAGCACATCTCAGCACCATTTTCACAGCAACTGGGAATATGTAAGTATATTAAAACATTAAATCCTGAATCGTCATACACAATTTCAATGATCTTGGTAGAAGAACACAAACGCTCTAGAGAACACTTTAGCATGCTATGCTAAATGAATTTGAAGTCTAGCCAGTTAGAAATTACGTGTTTTACGATCAAAGAACATCCCTGTACATTTGAGGAAAATGTTTATATCACAGAATCACTGAATCACAGTGGCGTTACAGCGTGGAATGAGGCTATTCGGCCAATTGTGTCTGCACTGTCAATACAAACAATCACGATTAACCTGGACCAGTGACGTGATTTCACTTCATAACCTTGCACGTTTTTGTTTAAAAATATTCTTGCAACTCCCTCTGGAATGATCAGCTTTCATCTGCCTTCCACAGAAGTTTTGGGGCAGGGGAGGATCTCACGGAAATATAAAAAGTCCTGATGGAATTAGAAAGACTAGATTTGGGAAGAATGTTCCCGATGTTGTTGAAGTCAAGAACTGGGGTTGACAGACTTAGAGTGAGGGGTAAGCCATTCAGAACTGAGATAACGAAGAATTCCTTCACTCAGAGAGTTGTGAACCTGT